GACAGATCATGCCTGGGGACGGGCATGAAAGGACATGGTCTGTCATGGGGGGGGGAGGCATATGTGTATGTATATATATATATATATATATGTATGTATATGTATATATATATATATGTATACATCATATATCCCAAAAACGAAGCCAAATTCCGACGCTTCATCGCCTCCTCGAAGGCGCTTGAACGGCCGGGGACTGTGAGGCGATGGCGCCGCGCGGGACATGGCAGGGGAATGGACAGCAAAGAGACTGCGGCTGCGGCTGAAGCCCTCGCAACATGCACTGGCCTAGAGAGGTCTGCCTGAGTTTGCCTCAAGTCTTGTCAGTTCTCTTCAGCTCACCCCTGCAAACATGAGATGTGAAAGCGCACAATGCCTCCGAACTTCGTCAACAAATGGGTGAGAATATCAGTCATGGCAATACCCACATTCAGACACCATAGTAGTCTTCCCAACTGGTCATAGCAACAGTAACCATCATCGATATCATGACCATCTGGTAAGTATGAAACCAAGCCGCCTAGTCCCAAATCCAAACAAAACGTTGAACGACCCCTCGGGTTTTTACCTGTAACAACAGAAATTGCCGCCACCACGACCCACCAGCAATCTGGGTCCCAACACCGAACTTCCGCCTCTCCTGGGTAAGGAGGCTGTCCCGTTCCAGAATCTCCTCCGAAGTCTTTGCTTTGGGGTTTAGGGGTGCGCCACTTCACAACAACAAGATCTTGCATCCACTTCATGCTGCAATGAGACTGAACGAGACTGGCTAGTCATGCTGAGTCCTCCGGATTCCATGAACCCTAGCAGCTTTATCACATCCCGACGTGACAGCCAGCCCTTGCAGCCACGGTGCCATCACACGGTTGTGTCTTGTCTCGGTATCCGGCGACACAGGTGAGCCGGGTCTTGCAGGTTCCTGATAAGAACCCTATAGCCGCATCCAGCGAATGCTTCGTCGTTGCACAGTTAGAGTACAGCAGCCCTCACAGCAGCGAGCACGGAACTTGAAACGGTTGGGTCTCGCAGGAAAGGATCCTTTAACTCATGCCGGGTGCCTCTTGCTTCACTGTCGGTGCGGCAACCTCCGGGGCCTTTTCTCCGTACTCCTTTCGGTCAGCAGACATTAGCAAATCTGTAGCAACTGAGAGCCTTGCACCCTGCACAAGGTCTGCACACATTCTGTTGCGCACCTACATGTGCTGGTGCAACTCTGTGACCGATCCTCGACGATGGAGGCACAAGCCTTGCGAACAAAGAGGACCGGATCCTGCGACCAAAGGATGAGGGGAAGGTTGCCAGTGAGCTTTTGGAGCAAAGGTGCTGCCACCGCCAATCTGACTGCACACCCTGCTCGGGTGTTGGGGCAAATGTCTTTCACGTACCCGAAGCCACGAGACCGTGAGCCTGGAACGAAGTTGTTCACTGGCTGAAACGTTGAAAACTACTGTAAGCGACATCTTGTACGAGTACAGAACATCCGGCAGTTCTGCCACGTCTACCTGAAAACGGCTCTTCTTCTGGGCCAAGAAGAAGTGATGCCAAGGGGCGCTGAACCATGTAACCGTCTACGAGTAACTCCAAGTGCCTTGTTGTCTCTTGTGCCGCCATAGTGGAAACCTTTCAACTTGAATTGAAACCTGGAGCCGCTTGTGAAGCCCCAGCCTAGCAAGAACAAGAGCACTCAAGCAGAAGAGCAAACAAGAGCGATACCTCCCTCATTTGCGTGTCAGCCCCTCAAGCACTGTTCCTGACAATCAGTCTTGTTGTCACGCAATGCTCCCACTGCGCACACCGCAAGGTTCCCAGCCTTAACTTTCGAGCCACTCACTGTGGGAAACCGCGACCCTCAACCCTACAGCAGCAACGCCTAGGCCCTGCAAGCCCTAAACACTATAGGTGCCACACTGAAGCCGGAACCCTCAACCCCAAATCCCCCAACCCACCCTGACCTCAGCTACCCGGCGCGGCTTGTCGCTTCGGGAGCTCTTTCTCGAAAGTGCCTTTGCCACCTGCTCGGGCCTTGACAAGGCTGGGGCCACGACGGAAGCGCTGCTACTGTGGCTGGAGATGCTTCTCTGAGGGAGTGCTTTCACGACAGGGAGTCAAGGACGAAGGCTTGTTTCAGCTGGGTGCTGGGACTCTTCGTATGATGAGCTGCAATGCCAGTCCAGCCACGAGCCGTAGCAGGCACTCCGCATCTCTTCGAGACGGGCCAGAACGGAAAGAAACCAGCACCCCGAACCGAAAGATCCAACAGCCGGCGGTTGCAGCCAAAGCTCGTCATGGCACGGTCCTGAACAGCAGCATCTCAAAAACTCTGAGAAGGGCGCTACTCGCCGTTTCCCCACAGTATGCAGTGGGGCACGAAACAATGTCTTCATCCTTCACGCGGTTGCTCCGGTGCCGACTTTAGCGAACATATGCGCATAAAAACATACTTGAAGGCATGCATACTTTACTCTTGCCAAGAAGCACCTTGGCATACGTGATCAGCTTGACAATGTGAAGATGGCATGTCATGTCATGCATGTACGGTACAAGTGCTGTCTCGCCAGGGTGCAGTAGCTGTGCGGCCCTTGACACGCACAGGCTGGAGCCAGCAAGTCCGATCCCACGGGCTGCTCTCCTGTCTCAATGAGGCTGCTTACCACTGCAAAAGGAACACGATCGGCGGTAATAGGAATGATCAACATACCACTAGGAGTAGTAAGGAAGACTGTGACCATTGGCTCAGAGTCCAAGTTGATTGTACATGTTGTTCTTTTCCAGCAGATGCCGGGGATCTGGCCGGCAGCTGCTGCCAAATGTCATCCTGTACGAGCCTGAGGAAAGCTGCAACTGGGCTTGAGGACGCTTCGGGCAGTCTGTGCAAGGAAGCGCCTGAGGGTGCAAGCTTAGTTGCAAAAAGCTTCACTCCTAAAGGGGTGAATCCTAATCGTTGGACCTCCCCTTTCGGAAAAGCCTGGCAAAGAAATCACAAGCCGGGTAAAAGTTGATAGACACTACGGGTTCTGAAAATGGCCAGGCAGCATCTGCCGCATCCACGGGGGCAAGACTGAGAGCTCGCGCGACTGGCATTCACTCACCGGGGGCGGAAATTCGGAAACAGTCCACCCGGAAAAGGTATGCACACGCGAAAGCTGGAAGAGGAGCATCTTCGAAATCTTCAACACCCGAAACCTCGAAATCGAAGGAAGAGTCCGGAAGCTCTGTGTCAAAGCTGGAGTTGAGGGCTGGTCCACCAAAACGGCCACAGTGGATGAAGCTTGTCTATGTTGTGGAAAAAGATACAACACATATTCATACCTTATTATACAGATATGTATATTACAGATATATATATATATATATTTTTTTTATTTATTTATTTACTTATTTATTTATTTAGAAAGAGACAGAGAAAGAGACATATAAATATTTGTATATACCTATCTATATATATATATAAATTGATTGTGTATCAATAGATGTTTATTGATATGTAATACTGCTACTCCTCTGCGGGCTTCGACAGCTGCCTCAAACACCTATACCGCACTATTGCTTCGTCAACACCGCTCTTTGATATCCCTCAACTATTCCCAGGCATGTCGAAGTCTCCTTAAGGAAGGACCATTCCTTTACGGATACCATCATCGCAACCCACCAGATTTCAACAAAGTCCCGACAGTGGACGGTCTTTGTACATCGGCCCCCGGACCCAGGAGTCCTACTCCAAACCTCCGAGGCCCGAGGGCCCAAAGCACCTTGGCGCGCGAGCGTGTGATGCGCCGTGCTTGGACGCGGCGCATGGTTGCCGGAGCGGAGACCACCCGCCTGGCTTCGGCTTGGGATGTAGGGGCTTCTCACAGGCTGGCCAGCTTAGATCATCCCCACACGGACGTCCCATGTAGACTCATGGTGAACCTGCATGGAGCACATGTTTCAAGGCTTTTGCAGAACACCTCAAACAGACCTGCAAATAACAGACAAAGTTGACTCACGCAGCATTTCGTGGACGAGTTGTCTGATAAAGGCGGCAGCTGCGGGGCTTCGGGAGTTGGCTTCGGCCAGGCCGACAGTGGGAGCTCCGACATTACATCATCTGAAGGTACCCGGGATAGGATAAGCGGAAATGAGAAAGCCGAAAGATGGCATGTACACCCTGAACCAAACTATCCGACACAGCTCTTATCAGACTGGGAGACTTGCCCGAACACGGCCCCTCCTCTGCAGCGCAGAAGAACTCTCACTGTCACTGTGCCCGCTCTCGCTGTCCTGAGCACAGGCGTGCTCTGGAATGCATCTGTGGTTGCGACAGGTGCGCCGACGCCATTCCAGAAAGGAAGACGGTGGCACATTGGCATGCTCCCCCTACACCGCGTCGAATGGGCCGTTCTCATGGAGACTGCATGCTGCAGGGCAGACTGCTCTGACACTCAGATGCTGGCAGAGTCAGAGGCTCGACGTGCCTGCTCATCCAGGCTGGCTAACAGGGACCAACATCGCAAGGACCATCTGCACTACGAATGCTTTCGGAAAGCTGCAGCACAATTTCTGAAAGAAAGCATTCATGACAATGCGTCGCCTCTTGCTACCAGTTCGAAGGCCAGTTGCGAACATGGGAAGCGCCAAGTCAGGATAGCAACGGGATTGTGAGCCTCATGATGATACAAGCGAGCATGGAGGCTTACAAGAAAATGCCAATTCCGTTGTCTCTCATGGCTCTAACATATCCGGAAGAAATCGCATCCCCCTTGTCGAGCCCGATACATACCTAAACCGGCTTCTGATTGTTGAGGGCCGCTGGCTACTGAGAACCTGTAGCCCGGCCGAGCCTTCTGCTTCGCCCCGACCATTTCTGAAGCAGCCCGTGGGTTTACGGCCTTGTCTGCGGACAAGGCCGGTTCTATCACAGAGAGAAGTTATATTAATTAGGCCTATACGAGGTTATACTACCCCGTGCTACACGATACGCGTACTCTGTTGCAAACCATTATTCAACACCCATATATTATACAAGACTATAGTGGGCTATATCATCATATACTACCACACAATATTTATCGTTGTTTAGGCTGCTTAGGAGTCTAGTGGATCTGGCATTGCTAGCTTCCCCTATGGCATTCCGAAGCATCCGCATTCCCTGCAAGACGATACTCTCCCCCGTCACTACCACCAACGCCCAAGTTTTCAGAAACGAACAGCAACCCGTCATTTTAGCAACCCCAAACTCGCACAGCCTAGAACGAGGAGAGTATGACATCATGGTTCCACATGTGCTGGGAATAGTGGCCGTGACACAGCGGACTGTTTGATGAGCGAACCCGAGTTGTGAACAATATGTGCATCCATGCACTCTGAATGTGTGTGTGTGTGCAACTCATGCGAGCGTGCAGTTATCGGATTATCTGTTTCCGTTCCCTTTACCCTATACAGATGTATAGAACATGCAGGCTCGGAACCTGAGGTTGCCAGCTAATTGTGCGCAACTGCCCAATACCTTGATACCGCTGACACGAAACAAGATGATAATGCATCCGCAGCACCTCCTCGTTGATGGCGGCGGCTTCGCCATACTGTTGAAAGAGCTCATCAACGTGGTCGAAGAGATCTTAGCTGTCTTAGCTCAAGCACCCCTCAATCTTCAGGCCTGCAGACTTAAAGGGCTGCCAGTGCGAAATGAAATTGGTGCAACCCCCGAGCGAAGCCCGCATACACTTGAGCAGGACGCGGCCGGAGTTTAGATGCTCAAATAGTGAGCTGCAAACACCAATAAGAAAAGGTGCAGGTGTTTCCGAATGACTTCCCAGGTTTGAGTACCAAGCCCTGACGCGGAATACCAAAATTCCATGTAGCCCTTGGCCTCAAAACCTACGCCCGCCGAAAACCTTGCGGGATCTCTTCGCTGCGAGTCAAAGGACGGCGACTAAGCTGCAATAGACACGGTGATTAGAGCTTAAGCCTTTCGGGCTTCCTTTGTCTATTGCACTCCCCAAAACCGCCCCAAACAAGTAAATGACATCCGAGTGACCTTGGTCCACACGCCAGCCTCGGCCCTGGCCCATGGGCATGAAAGGCTTCCCGCGGTACTTCTTGGCACCTCGCGGCGATATCTGCTCTGCTCTTCGCGATTTGCCATTCTGAACAGTCGTCCGAAGCAGCAATCCCAAAACCTGCGGGCGAGCCTCGGCACTAGGAAAATTGAAACCTACCTCAGACTCGGCCAATCGGGTCCTGAATACACTCACCAGCGAACCAGACACAATGGCCGAAATCTAGGCACCTAGTTTGCCATCGTTTTTCGAAAGCTGATCAATATCCAAAGTCCAACCCGTTCGCTGCCAGTGCTTTTCTACCAACGAGAGGCCAGAAATCTCACCATGCCGTGACTTCGGGGCCATAACCCCTGATAAACCAAGGACTCAGATGTCACAAACAGGAACTGAAGGACGGCTTCGGCAACGCCTAGGATATTGCAGAGTTCCATATTTTGCTCTGGCTCCCAAATTCTTGGAGATTCTTGTATCTTGTTATATATTTGCCATCATACCTCTTGCAGGAACAAAGACGATGGCACATTATGGGGTATCTTACACCCGCAAGCCTTAAACCATTTTGCATCCGGGTCTCTGATGCCAGCCATGTTAACTGCCGTAAACCCTAAACCCAAAAATGCTAAGCCATTGTGGGACCCCCTCGCTCGCCCAGGTACGAAGCGTGGCGATCCTTTCCCGTGCCTTCTCCAAGCCTGAGGCGGGCTTATTCCAGCTTTTATGCAAACATTGATCACGTTTTCCTAGGTTGACATTACATTACTGAAGCCAAGGCTTGTTAATCGACGGAATTGATGGGAAATCTTCCGCAGGACCTACCTGCTAGCAGATCCTAGGCAAAACCCAAACCTCACTGAGCAACCACTCACAGGGCCCAGACACCTGCACACCAACCTCCCTCAAGATTCACGAGACATCCTAAATCCTATCACCCTAACAAGCTTCCCAACCCAACCTGAATCCTCCCTGGTCCCGATCATCAACCCTAAATCCTCGATCATAGAGCCTTCATCCTGAGTTCCGAAACAAGAACCTGAACCTCAAAGACTTCCCCAACCCCGCCTGAATCCTCCCTGTCGCCCACGATCCACACAGGATCTGGCGGCGGGGGCCCAGCCGACCGGTCCTCTGGAAAACACCGTAATCCAAGTGTGGATTTGGATGTAGATTGGTATATGTGATCTAGATATCGGCTTGGGCTTGGATGTATGGTATAGGTACAGATGTGAAGATATACTGACATAGAGATATAGAGATGTGGAGATGTACATGTGTGTGTGTGCGCACTGCTGGCATGCAAAGAAACGTGAGTATGCATGCATGCATGCATGCATGCATGCATGCATGCATGCATGCTTATGTTTTCATATATATATATATAGAACTAACACACCAACTCACCAACTACATCATGACAAGGCAGCGCACATGCAAACTTGGATCGAACTGATGTCCGCCGCTTGCCCCGTTTGCCCCGCTTGCTCGGACCGGGGTGCAATAACCGATGCCCTGCTCCCTGTGGCGTTCGAACTCTTTCGGCCCTGTCTGGAGCATCAGCCGGATCAAGGATGTCTTCAAACGCGGACCTGTAAAAAACCGCAGCTGCTCGAGAGAGAAAGCCTGTCTCCTGGTCAGCGTAGCAGTAGTAGTAGCAGTAGTAG